TCTGTTCTGAGCTATATGTCTAAACTCTGCTCTGTTGTGGAGACTTTAGCTTTTGCTAAGCCACAGTGTGCCTTCTGACTGCTTTGAAACAGAGTTGAGCTTGCATCTAACTCACAGAAGGACTGTCCAGGCTCTTTTTGTCCTCTGCTAGCCCACAGTGTTGGTATGGTGCAGTTGGTGTTAGCACAGCTTTGTGCTGAGAAAGCTGAGCTCAAGCAAAAATAAGGACATTACATGTTAGGCTGTGTAATTAGTCCAGAAGCTCTTACATATCCATTCCTGTGGTGCCTGCTCTGTTTTGCCAGTGTTGAAAAGTCATGCAGAATAGAAATATGATGGAGCATAACTGTATTTTTTTCCATATTGTTTGTAGTACTTTTGATAGATGACAGCAGTGGTATTGTATTTCCTTCCATAAGTACAGTGAATGGTTCTCCATATACTGCAGGTCTGTGGCAAAGATGATGTTTATGCTTCAGCTTGATTAATGCATCTAGACAACCATCAGGAGAGTCTCACTGTGAAAAGGCATGTAAGAATGGTGAGATATCTGCTTGACAGAAATGAGTATTCTCTTGATTGTATTTGTTGTTTAAAACATAAATGCAAGTTCTGACATTTATTTGGAATATATATTTTGCCTGTGAGGTAAGTTTTAGTATGACAATAGACACATGATCTTTTGTAAAATAGCATGTGATGTAAACTGATTTTGCTGTGTGAAAGAGTAAACCATTACTCTGTTAAGCTAGACCTTGTAATACAGTTGGATTCTAATCTAAGATGCTTAAACCTGAGAGAGAGCTTTTTATTTGCTGCACTCAGCATGTAGATGGGTAGACTCTGAAGAAGGTCACCTTTATGTGTACACTGAATTTGTTGTCTCATAGAAATTTTAGTTTTAGACATAAGATTCAGAATATACTTTAGGAAGTGAACTTCATGGAATTCTCTGTTGAGTAACTCTGTGAGTTAATATTTCAGTTCATAATATGAAAAATCTACAATGATAATTCTGATGCAGAAGCTGTTGAAGAACCTGGGGCTGCCTCTCAGACTGCAGTTTTCTGGATTTCAGGTTTCTGATCTTTACTATGAAACTGGACTCCATCCTTCATACAGACTTTGGATGATTTATGTAGTCTTGGAACTCACTATTTTGCTTTTTTTTCTCCTGATAGTGTTAGAATTTTAAAATCAGTGTTCCATTTTATTCTAAATTATTTGCCATTTTGGCCTTACTATTTGTAATGCTTCCCTTAGTTCTTAGATTACAAATTAGGTTTTAGATGTTAAAAAGTGAAAAGCCAAAAAAAGTCACGTCTCTCTTTGAGGATCTGATGGAATTGCATTTCATAGAATCATAGAATGGCCTGTGTTGCAAGGAACCTAAAGATCATCTAGTTTCACTCCCTGCCCCTGCTGCTGTGGGCAGGGACACCTCCCACTAGACCAGATTGCTCAAAGCTCCATCCAGCCCAGCCTTGTACACTGCCAGGGATGGATGTCCACATCTTCTCTGGGCAACCTGTTCCAGTGCCTCACCACCCTCACAGTAAGGAATTCCACCATAATAGCTGATTCAAATCTCCCCTCTTTTAGTTTGAAATCATTGTCCCTCATCCTCTCACTACATGCCTTTGTAAAAATGCTGTTCTTTTTTCATGCACAGATCTTTGAACTATGGTTTGTTCAGAGTCATGTTTTCTTACAGAGGAAGTTGATTGTTGTCTCATAGGTACTAAATCTTTTCACTAAATAATTTCGGTATAATAATATTTTTTTGCTCTTAACCAAACATACTTGGAGCACAGAAGTCTGGAAATATAAAATTAAATTGACATGTATCTCAAACAGAAGATCAGGACGTTCTCTTGATATTTGAATAAACAAAGTCTTTAGTCTATTAAAATTAAAATAACATTTCTCAATTATTCAAGGATATGTTAAGTCTAACGTAATAAAATGATACCAAACTCATTTTGAACTGGAGTCCATTGATAAACAAAACCTTTGTTTTTAAATTGATCTCAACAATTGCATCTAGGTTTTTAGTATTTCGGAAACTGAAAAAATTTCACTGGTATACTTAAAAAATTGAGCAGGTTTTCAGGATATTGTAGACCCAAATTCAGTAGGTAAGTATGTTTTGGTAAAAGTGATCTACTGAGTATTTTGAGGTAAAAGCAGTGGCATTTTGGAGATGTAAGTTAAGATCTAAGATTTGATTTGATTTTTCAAGAAATATATCTGTATAGCCATGTGGACAGAGACTGTAAGGGTTTTAGTAAAAAGTGTGCCTTTACGGTACTATTTGAAATAAGTATCACATATGGTAATTTCTGGGGATCTCTTTTGGAAGAAAAAAGAGTAGGAAAATAGCCTCAAAACAAATGAAGAATAATACTGTTTATCTATTGGTCTTATTGAAGTCAACAGCAGAACCTGCATGACATAAAGGAGCAGGTTTTGATGTAGTCCGTGACTCTTGAAATGGAATTATGTTTTAAACCACTCAGTATTTCATTCTTTAAACAAGAAAAAAAATAGTGATACAATAAGAAGTTAATCTTTAGTGAAATTTCTGTATTTTTCTTATGGCTTAAAAGTCAGCAGCAGGGATTGGACTCGAGGATATTAAAGGTCCTTTCAAACTGAAATAGTTCTATGGGCACTTAACGGTGTTGAGTTGTTAAAGTAACAGTAATCTGAATTTAAATTGTTGTAACAGATTGAAGTTGTTGACTCTTTTTTGCGTTATTAATATAGTTCTGAAGCTTGTGTTCCACATGGAGCTTTTTTTTACATGCAGCTGAGAAATCAGTAAGATGTGTGTGTCAAGTTGGTAGGTATATTTCTCTTTTGCAAAAAAAAAAAAAAAAAAAGTTCAAGTAATAAAATCCATTTCAGAACCTGAGTATAACTACATTTCCCTTATCTACTGACAGTGTTTCTAGCTTCTAGGTTTTGTTGGATTTTTTTCCTCTTGTATATAGTGCTCCGGTTTTGTTCAAACAAACGTGAAGTCCAGTTTTCTTTAAAGCATTCTTTTGATTGAATGGCTTGTCTACTCCTCATTTTCCTGTTTTCCTTTTTTTTTTCCCCTGTGTGTTAATGAGCTAATGGTTCTTAACAGGCCTTTTACTGATCATAGGTGGTAATGACATCTGTTTGCAGCTACATATGGCCTAAACCATGCAAGATGCGGAGCAGAATGTATTTAAGGAACAGTCAGCAAAAGCATGGGCAATTTTTACTTTGACAAATTTCTTATACTTACTGTATGGAGAGCTGTGTTTTTCTAAAACAAGTGCTCAGTATCTTTAATTTGTAATTTATTTGTTGAAATTATGAGTGTATCTTAGGTTTTATGAAAAGCATATTCTGCATAAATAAAATGGCTATGTCCATTTGTCTGATAAATACTAAGCTTACGAGTGTGTTTGCTTGATTGATTTTAATCAGCTTTGGACCACCTAATTTCTTGATTGGCATGAATTTGGAGATTTATTTACTTAACCTATTTTTACACTGCTTCTTCTAATTTTTGTCAGTATACCTGACTTGTTTTATTGGGGTATGCCAGTATTTGTGATGGTAGTGCCAAGTAATAATTGTACCAAATTTTTTCTTCTGTATTGAAATGAGTATTTGTCTTAAGAATATGCTTGAATAGTTGCAAGCAAGTGATGTTGTCAGGACCTAGTTAATAAGGGATAAAATAAAACTTCTTGTTAGTCTCAAGGTTGTGTCTTGTGGATGTAGTTTGTTGATTGAAGACTTTGCAGCTTGCCAGCTGCGTGTCATTGCTGTCAGAACACCACTAGCAATAGAGTTTCATGAATTTCCCCTCACCAATGCAGTAAAAGGTCAGCTCAAGCCTCTTCCATTGACTTTTTAAATTAACCAGCCCTTTTAGTTATGCAGTCACTTTGGGAAGCAGTTTACATCATTCCTTCTCCAGCAATGGCGCTGTGGTGCTAACCTCCAGCTATCTGGATGCTTTGACCATGTGGGATTTATGTCATCTTTGTCTGGCATAGCTGTTTGAAGATGAATGTCTCTCCCCAGCCTTATGGCACTGAGGAGGAGGTTTAAGCTAAAGCATTTCATTTTGTTATTGCCATAAGGTGACTCAACAGGCATATTGCTGCTGCTTACACAAAGCAGAAAAAGCTTTGCCCAGTGGTTGTTACAGAGTGGGGTATGATCACAGGCAGGTGATGAAAACTCAGTTGACAAGGAGTCAGTCATCTTGGTCTTGGCCGTGGATACATAAGTCTGCTGCTGGGCATCAGGGATATAACTTGTGGAATGCTACCAGTGAAATGTGTCCTCTCTGAACAGGTTTGGTAACTAGGCCAAGTTGGTTGGTGTGTGGCATCCTTGTATTGTGCCAAGGAATTGCTGCACATGTATTGATTGCTAGGAAAGGTCCTGGAATTCAGCAGTTTAACAAAATAAAGTACCAACATTGACTAACACTGTGACCTAGAATCTATTTTTTTTGTGAGTCTTCAGTTTGACCACAACACTTCCACTGTCTGAGTTTAAGGATGTAATGGCTACAAGTTGTAGATTTACAGTAAGAAAGTGCTTTTCTAAGGCAGTTCTTAACTAAAAATATGTTTAGTTACACAATATGCAGTTAATATTTTTTTGTTAGGCCAGTGATACTTAGAACTTGAAGTCTCACCAGAAACAAGCCCAGAAGGTGCAATCTTTTTCCAAGAAATTTAACAGTATGTGACATACAAAATACCATCTAATAAGTAGAATTAGTTACTGCAGAAGCAGTGTCTGAAAATGTTTCCTTAGTATTTTGAGATCTGATTTTGATTATGGATTCATGAACCATTTAAGAAAGCAGAATTATTTGCAGCTTTTACATGTTTCTGTAATGTTGATAATATGTTTCTCTAGGCAGTTTTATGTAAGTGGTGTGTTATGCTTCTGATTTTTTGTTACCAGTGTAATATACCTGTACTGTCATTTTCTAGGTATTTCAACAGCCTTCTTTAAGTGAGCTAGAGTGCTATATTACAGTGCAAGAATCTGAAATGGAGCTTTTACAGAAAAAAATGAAAAAAAAAGGATCTTAACCTAGCAGAGCATAATTTGTACACTACAGATACTCTGGAAAGCAGCAATATAAGGACTGGAAGAAAGCATGAGGTAGGGTAGTTTTATTGTCTGGTGTATTTGTGTGTAAGTCAGGTGGGTGAAGCCAAACGTTTTTGCTCAAGGGTCCAGATAATAATTTTAATATCTGTTGACGCTGCTTATAATTCTGGAAGCTTGTTTGAATAGTTCCTGTGTTATCTGCCAAAGTCTTGTTAAAATAGCTGTTGGGAGTAGAAGGTTTTACCTTATTAAATACTGAATAAGGGATTCTTAATTAAATGAACTATTTGAAGGATAAATTCTTTGTAGGTTTGCTAAAATGAATATTTATCAGATTTTTGTGGTGTGTATCAGAATGACCATCTTTCACTGTAAGGAAAGTGAGAGAAATATAAATGGTTATTATAATATTTTTTTAAATGAAAAAGATTTTTTTTTCCAAATTCTTGACTTTCAGAGTGGGATATAGTGTATTTTCTAGGAAGAATGACAACAATGTCCTTTGAAGTTTACACTCTCAACTATGTATAGTGCTGAATTGCCTGCTTCATGGAGTCTCACTGTTTGATTTAGGCATCAAATAATGATAACAACTATAAGCTATAGTAAGTGAATGATGTCTGTAAATAACTCTGTGATTTAAATGGATATATTAGCTGAAATCATGATGCTTTTCAATGTGTTCATGTTCTTCTTCCTCTGTTTCTATTGTGATTGGATAAAGTATGGGAAACTTGGAAGAGATCTCTTTAACAAGATTCCAAGGGTGAATGTGATTCTGAATGGTATAAATAATGTACAAGGGTGAACCATCATGTCCACTTCCTGAGAAATCTTCTAGTTCATCCAAATATGGTATTCTTTGAAAAATGTATGGCTTGTTCTTTCTTAATGACTTGTACTGTATGTTAGTTTTGGGAAAAGACACACTTTAGAACATTTCTTCAGGAGCATGTTGTGGGCATTTCTGTGCAAATGTGCTTTAGAAAAAGCAAAATGTTACACAGGCAGTGTAGAGTGAAGAATAGAAGGTGAGAAACAGCCTAGCAAACATAAAGGTCAGAAAGGAGGAGAGGAAGGAGTTGCTTCACGTGCTGGAAACAAGTTATTTCTCTGCAGCCCATGGAGAGGATCACGGTGGAGCAGATGTCAATAATACAGCTTGTGGAGGAGCCCAGAGGAAGTGGATATTTGCTCAGGGAACCACAGCTTGTGGAGGAGAGTCAATGCTGGAACAGGTTCCTCTCTTACGTGAACTGTGGTCCATGGAAGACTCGCTCTGGAATAGGTTTATCCTGAAGGATTCCAACCTGTGAAGAGCCTGTGTGCTGGAGCAGGAGAAAAGTGTAAGGAGGAAAGAATGGCCCAATAGGAACTGTTATGAATTAATTGTAAACCTTCTGCCTCTATGGCTCAGCTGGTGGTCAAAAAGTTGAGTGATGGAATGAAGTTGTGCCTGAGAAGCTGGGAGCTCCTCCTGGGTAGGGAATAAAGTGTTAATTAATTTTTTTTCTTTATTTCTTACAACCTTAATATATCTTAAGTGGCAATAACTTTAATTGATTATCTTCAAGTCGAGTCAGCCCATGATGCTGAATGGTAAACCCATAAGCTTTATCATCATGTTTCCTCCTTTTGTCCTAGTGGGGAAAGAAAGTGGGAGAGCACTAGAGTGGGTATTTGACCCTTTGCCTGGGTTAGGCCCTCACAATGTCTTTTTCTGTTTCCTCAGGGGAAAGTAAATGAGACTGCCGTGCTTGTCATGAACTGTGTCAAAATAAAGCAATACACTCCCTTGAGTAAAACTTAATACAAGTTTTAAAGCCTACTGTAGAAAAACTCTTCCTGTTTTGATATGTAGATCTGAGTCTTGCTCTTTCAATAGTCAAGGTTGTTTGGTATGTCCACTTTTCAACAAGTGCACACAAGCCTCTATTAAGTCTTTTGGGAACTCAATTGATGAACTACAAATCCTTTGTATTTAGACAACACAGTAAGTGAAATTGTGGAAATACTCTGGATTTTCCAATATAGAGAAGGTGGTATTGCTGTGGTAGTACTTTACCCTTTTTCCCTTGCAGTGAAATATCCTCTCGTTCCTTTGTTTTTCAGTCTTTTATGACAAAATTATTATGGTCAGAAGTTATTAGCACATGATTTGACAGGAAGAGTATGTTGGATATTCAGTGTTTGTTTTAAAAAGATGGTCCTTTTGACTTAACAAAGACTGTTGTGCTGTCCTTCATTCCACCTTATATACATTCCCAGGATACAAAGAACAAATAAGCATGGAATCATTTCTGATCAGAATAACACCACTTTGATGACTTACTGCTCTAAGAAATTTTGAAGGCTTTGAGAGAAGGAATAGTTAGAAAGGTGTGAAAAAGAAGAGCCTGGTACAAAGAGAAACTTGGCACTACTGTGATAAATTGGGATGTATGGCCACATTCTTCTGTATTCTCTATGTTTGTATATATGCAACAGCATATATACATCTATAGCCTCGTGTTGGTTTCTTTGTGAATTGCAGAAATCCACACCCCTTGCCAACAGCTGTACAGAGTAATAGAAGCAACTTATTATTTGAGAGATGGTTAAAAGCTTGGTTAAATTCGATTGTAATGTCCTGTTTCATGATACTGTTAAATGTGTATTTAGAGGCAATTATAACCATCATAGTCCAGTCTGTGTGAAAAATGGTATAGCTGAATGTTGTTGTGTATGAAGACTTGGCTTGACCTTCCTAGAGCTCTTTTTGGAGCTTAAACTTCGTAAATTTGTGAGCAATATATGATTTCTGTTAGCTGATTAAACTAGCATTCATATGTCTGCTGACTAATTCAATAGGGTTTTGTGGTTGTCTTGTAGCTGAGATATTTCATTGATATCATGCCTATGCAGAAAAAGGACTCAAAACATTTCAGGAGGAGTTCTGACTTCCCTACTTTGGTTTGATTTTTGGAGTTTTTTTGTTGGTTTGTTTTTTGGTTTCTGTGTTTGTTTGTTTGTTTGTTGTTTGTTTGTGGTTGGTTGTTCTGGGGTTCTGTTTGTTTTATTTGAATTCTTTTGGCACTTTATTCAGCATGAAACCTGTTGAATTCAAGAATGTGGATATTTGCAGTTTCGTCTCATGTTTTCTTTCATGTGCAGAAGGTTGTTTACAGGTAACAGAAGGTTGTTTAGAAATAGGCATATTTTCTTTTTCTGCTTGTGTGCCTCCATTATCAGTTATGTGTGTCCCATCTACTTACCTGCTATTTCTTTATGGTAAATCTTCTGTAAAAGAAAAGTTTATGTTTATTATGTATTAGAAACTCTGGTTTTCTGCTATTTGCTTTAGTCTTCGGTAAAAATGTTTTAGGATCATTCAATGAAAAATCTTCTGGTCTGGATTCCTTTACTGACTTGGATTAACATTATTCACTGATAACGTTGGAGGGGTTTTTTACTCCTAAACATGTAGAAAATTTTTGAAACATTCAATTTTGAAACATTTTATACATTCCTGAATATATTTAATACAGGTATGTCAAAGTTCTTCTGTAGAATTTGAGGACTGAATTAAAAATTAAATGTTTATATTTGGCGGCAGCTGGAGCAGTAAAGTTTGCACTTGTGAGAAGGGTAATGCAGTTGCCATCTTTCGAACTGAGTTTTGCAGCAGCCCCAGTCAATCTAATTACAGTATATTTTACTACACAATTTCTTTTGTCTTGATAGAATTGTTTACCTCCTTAGCAAAGATTATGTTCAAACTACTTATGTGCAACTGTAAAGCCCAGATCCAGTGCCCTTTCTCCACAGAACTTTAGTCTGATCACTAAGAAGGTGAAAGCAATAGCATGTTCTAAATACATATCACCAAGCCCATCCATTGTCACAGGAAATAATTTCCATATCCATAAGTGCTTAAGAGTTTTCTCTGTTTTTTGACACACCTTGTCTCTAGCACAATCCCAGGTAGCTATATATAAACTCTGTATGTGTATACAATATCTATCTATCTATCTATCTATCTATCTATCTATCTATCTATCTATCTATCTATCTATCTATACATACATACATACATACATACATATATATAAAAAATATTCCTATGTGCTCCTCTTATCTGATCAGCTGCGACTAGACTAGCAAAACAATGAATTTTATATTTTTCTGTATTTTTTTCTCTTTTTTTCTGTTGCTTCTCGACTTTTCTCTGCCTATTTATTCTTAACAATCTGGTGCTGGTTGATCCACTCTGTTTCATTTGTTGTCCTTCACTTTAGCAGCAAGCAGAGTGCTTTGACCTTCTATTTCTGATTTCAGAGAAACTGTGTATATTCCAGACTTTCTGTATACAAGCATAAAGTTTACCTAGAAAATAATTCTTGAAAAATAATGCATAGTGCAGTCATACATGATTAAGGAATGTAGAAGATAGGAGGGTTATTTTTTTTTTTTTAAAGCTCTTTGCTTGATTCACAAAATCTGGGACTTTGAAGATGATTATATTTTTTGGTATTCAGATATTTCAGATTTTAAATGTACTAAAATTTTTTCCATATGTTAGTTCTGGGTTTGTGCAGGGGGGTTGGTTTCACTTAGGGTGAGGCTTTGTTTTTTGGGATTCTTTTTAGCCTAATTTTTATTTGTTTGTTTGTTTTTGGTTTGTTATTTATAGTTTCGTTTGATTTTAGGTTTTTTTGGGGGTGTGGGTGTTCTAGTTTGATTTGGTTTGGTTATTAGTTGATTGTTGGGTATTTTTTGTTTAGGGTTGTTTTTTGTTTTTTTTTTGTTTGTTTGTTTGTTTTGTTTGGATTGGTTTTGGTTTTGGTTGGAGGTTTTTTTGTGAGGATGTAACACTTTTTAAAAAATAATTTTGCATGCTTGTTTGTTGGGTTTTCTTATGTCTCTTTCAGGTATGTGTCATAAACAAAAGAATTCTGAAATCAAATGAAAAAACACATTGGAAATGTGTTTTACATTCATAAATATAAACATTATAAATATGAGATATTATTGTTCTCTGATATTTTGTGATAGATTTTTTTTTTGCCTTTTTGGAAACCCGTGCTATTTAAAGTGAAGTTGTGGTATATGATGTCTTATAAATATTTCATACTGGAAGGTAGTGGTCAAAGAAAAAATGTCAGTTGCTAATTAAGATACTCTTCAAGATTAAATTAATTTAATGGTCTAGTGAAAATATTGACTTATACACTATTGAAGAAGAATTTATTCTTAATTAATTTTATTGTGCATCAGTTATTTCCCAAAAAAAGTGGCATAATGCAACAAGAATAATTTACCTTAAGTTTCTGTTTGGCTTTATGTGTTGATGCAACAGTATTTTACCTTACTGGCATTAAGTGTGTGTTAATATTTCACTGTTCTTAACCAAAGTTATTCCAAAAATCTGAAAGTCTAATTTTATGAGGCCTTTCTTTCTCTGCCATAAGGACATATGACATAGAATGAACAAGAAAGCTGCCCAGTTTAAGTGTTACTTTCACATACTCTTTCTCCAGATTGCTATATGAAGCTGTACATAATATAAACACATATTCTTGTCTCTAGTTAGTCACATTATAGTTAATGACCATATGGTCATTATGGTATAAGATCTACTGTCTGTTGTATTTATATTCCTCAAGCATATTGTTCCTTCAACTTCACAGTGTGTTAAACTATTTCAAAGGGAAAAAAAATCCTTTCCCTCTTGTTTCTGGTTGTCCTATCAAGTGTAACCTTGGACCCTTATAGAGCAATTAGACCAGCCTCTATCCCCTCCTTTGTAATGAGGTTTCTTGCATTTCTGAGTCTATAACCCTTTAGTCTTCCCTAATGGGACATCATTATTCTGAAAGAAACAATGTAAATGTAAATGAATATTCTCATTAACGAGTCACAGAGAAACCTTTAGTGGTAGCGCTGTGGTAATTCTGCTTGTTATTTCTCTGGTATTCCATGCAGATTTTTTTTTTTTTATAATTCATTATTAGTATTCAAAATTACTTCTTCTTTAATTCTGCATGTCTTTCATAATCCGGTGTTCCAACTAGTTCAACCATGTCCTTGTTTTATTCTCCAGGAACCACCTGTGAAATGTTCAAGGTCTCTGTCCCCAAAGAGCTCTTTCAGAGAGTCAGAGGAACTAAAGAAGCTTAAAATAGCTGAAAGGAAGATTGAAAACTTAGAGAAGATGCTACAGCTAAAGGTGAACATTAAATAAAAATAAATAAAAAGCCTGCTAGCTATAAGCTTGCATAGACAAAGATATACCAAAACAAATAGACATTTTAAAAATTAAAAATACACATATTTTTATGGACTGTAAGTCTGTTTGGATCACAGATCCAGTGGTTTACCTTTTTGCTTTACTGTGTGAGTTACCTGCAGTCCTGTGGAAGCTTAATTGAGCTGTCATCAATAACACATAGTTGTTAATATATTTTCAAAGTTTGTGTTTGAGAATATATATTCCGAGAAATTGATGTGTTCATTTGAAGTAAACCAGAAAGTAAAAACACTGAAAGTGCAAAGAATTTTTTTCTATACAATAAAGCAATACTTTCAAATGTTGAAGTCAATAAATTAAATAAGATTGACCCCTGGAAATTATGTAAGTTATGACTCAGTTAGTTGCTGGTCTAATAAATACTGTTAAAAAAAAAAAACAACAATTCCCCTTGCTCCACCCCTTCATAGAAAATTTTTATTGAGCTTGTTTTACAGTCTCTCATTTTGTCCCTGTTTCACAATTTTTTTGTAGCTGTTTTTTTCTTGCTTTGGTATTTTGCTACAGAAATACCTTTTGAACAAACTATTGGTTTAAAATTGCACCTCTGAATGGAAAATGCAAACCCTGAGTCACATTTTCTTAAACACCTAAAATACATCTTCTTCCCTCTCTTCTCTCTCCTCCCTCTCTTTTGTTGCTTATCTTTGTTCAGCTGTGGGATTTGAAAGATTTTTTCAAGTATGTGCAGTCTAAAGAAGAACTGGTTATATTGAACATCCTGTGATAAAAGTAAGGTAAGTGAAAAAATTTGGAAGCTCTACCAACCACAGTGATAAGTTAATTTTAAAAAAAACTAATTGGGAAATATATTTCAGTACAAATGCCACAGTTCATCCATCTGTATACTTGGGAGAGTCAACACATGTAGAATATATGAACAGGAGAAATTATTTAGACTTCAGATTCAGTGTTCCAGGTTGTTTTGTTCCTGGGAGACAGAAAATTAATTGTTGTTTTGTTTGCTCTCCCTGTTGAGAAATCTAAGGCATGTCCACCAGCTAAACCTGAGAACTGGCCTTTGGGAGGCTTCATATTCGTTACTTGGCCTGCCTGACACTGATGCTGCCGATTATTCTGGAACTGTAGGGTGCAGCTGTTCTGCTCTTGGAAGCAAAACACACACTAGTGCGTATGGTTGTTGCCTTAAATGATAGACAACTCCACATTTCTTCAGGAAAGAGGATGGAGGAAAGCAGATGCAGAAGAGAAAGAGCTCTCTCTGCATAACCTAAAATAATAATTTGTACCATTCACTATACTACCTTTACTTATCTTCTATTTAATCTTAAAGTATAATTTTAAAATCTGTACAGCTTTACGATGTTACAGGTGCGGGATCTCTATTGCAGACATCCATGGTGTCTTTAAGGCTAAATCTCCCCTTGAAAATGAACACATGAACTTCTTGCATTTCCTCTTGACAATCTACTTGGCTCCTTTTGCAGATTGCTTTAATGGATTGAAAAGAAGCTGTAGAGGCCCAGGTCATCATAGCAAACACTGTTGTGGCACTACATTCATATTTCAATGAGGCTACTGCCAGCATGACAGTGAACTAAGCTGTCATAAAGTTAATATCACTACATTTCAATTACTATTCTGTGGTTTCTTAATGCTGCCTTCAATTAAGCATAGTTTCCAACAACAAAAAAAGGATTTTATCAACATTTTCAAAACTGGTCCTTGCATTATTGCATCTTCAAACAAAGCGTTGTCTGTATGATTACTTGAAATTTTCTTGCTCAGAGAAATGGTTGCTCTGTCAATACATACACTGATGATGCATGTCTGGGACGTGAAATGATGACTTTTTACATTAGTCCTTTAAAAAAATTGGTAACAAGTTTAAAAAAACACCAAAACCAGCTCTATTTTTGGGGTTTTCAGGAAAAGGAATGCACCAGTCAGCATTGCAAAGAAGCAGAGGAGGTCAAGGTCCCATTCACAGGTTTTTCCTGTTCTCTCAGCAGACTCATTTCTGAACAAGAAAAGGTGGCTCTTATCTTTGTTGCTAGTATAAATGGGGTAATAATTTAAATTCAGAGTTTTTATACAGAACTGGCTTTGTTTCTGGACATACTAAAAAGTAACAGAGCATGTCTGATTGCACCTTTGTTTACAGAAGAGAACGTCAAAATAAATAAAGTGGTTTTTGGGTTTTAAACAACAAATTATCAAGCTGCTACTTACATTGGTGCAAAGCACAATTACTTCAGTCTATCGTTGATCTTCAAGGAATGAGTAAGCATTTGGTTGTTGAGAAGTAGGCATTTGATACAAACTAAGAATATGTTCATCTTCTCTGTTTCTCCTAGAGCTGTGATCACTGGTGTAGCCTGGAGGAGGTATTCCTGGCTTTAATTGGAAGGAGCTCAAAACCAAGAGGAGCTCTTCGCTTTGAGTTTTCTCATCTTTTTTAGGTTCTAAAGTTTTTGGAGGTAAATAAAACTAGAATATGTACATCAGTCTTTAGGGCCACCTTAATACTTGTTTGTGTGAGCAAAACCACTCTGACATTTACCTCAGATTTTGTATGTAGTCCTGTTCCGTATATAATGCTGAACATGAATGTTCAAATGCTGAAAGTAGATGAATATTGCAGCTTATCCACATAACTGTTTGTGGAAATAACTATTTTTGCAACTATTAGGGGACTCAGTTCTTGTAAGCCTAAGCATAGTCAAATAATTGAATCAGTGTAATTTTTAAAATTTCCTTTTTACTATAACAGAGGGTCAGTTTCAACAAAAATTTGAATTAGTGATTAAAATCTTTTGACTTGTCTGAGAGGCCCGCCAAAAGAAAAAAAAGAAAAAAATTTAAAAAGATAAAAGGGGCTTGGTTTTTTTTCAGAGGCAGTGGGGTTTTTCCTCCTCCAGATGGAACTTTGTGTTACTGTTTTTCATTCTTGCATGGGAAGTACTGTAGATGAAAAGGGACAGCTGGAGAATAATCTGGAGGTCCAGCGCAGCTAGAGAGGGTTGTTCTGTCCCATTTCTGCAAATATATACAAAACTGTGTACAAGACAGTTCAGTTATTAAATATAACATCATTCAGACAGAGATGAATCTAACAGATTATGGAAATTTCAATGAATATTTTAAGTCCTGAAGTGCTTAATTCAACAGAGAGAGTGATTAGGGCAGTTAATTGTCTAGTTTCTATTTTTGCAAGAGCAGAGAAGTGATAAGGGAAGGCAATAACTGTAACAGAATGGATAATAGAACAGGTAAGCAATAATGAAAAATGTAGATTCATAAATAGGAAAGGCCAAATTCTACAGTTGGTTGCATCTCTGAAAGGGCATTGATACTAATAAGCTTCTGAGGATTTATATTGAAGACATTATTTTCCAGTACCCTGCCAGACTTGACCAGCTTTTGCTAGCAATATCAACGATCTCAGAACAGTTGTTTCATGAACTTCTCTTGAAAACTGAACATCTGTAATTGTATTCTTATGAAAATTTCATCTTGCAAAGTTTGGTGATGGTCTCTCTGTTCTTAGTCTAAGATTTATACTGCTATTTATGTAGTTGTTTTTAATTACATTGTGATATTTACATGAGCCATGTAAAACGAATTTTTTAAAAATTCAAAATTTATAAATGTATTTGGTTTTGAGCTTATTTCAGAAAAAAACCTACCACCACCACTTTTGGAAAGTATTTAATGGTACAGTTACTTTGTACTTGATTATGTTCCTAAATCTTTTCTTTGTGTTTCCTGAGTCACTTCCAGAGAACTTCTAGAATTTTTTATATAGTACCATTTGAAACTTTAGTTAGTACCTTTCAACTTGTGCATCATGAAAGCTGGGCTACATTTGGTAAGCCAAGCTTAGTACAGGTACTTCATAATTAGCAGTACTCTGGAAACCCTTCCCATGTTTTTATAGTGGGATTCAATTTTTGTTGTTTGCAGCTCTGACTATTTGTCTGTCTAATTTATTGACTAATGCTGAAAAGTCCTCCTTACATATAAGCAGTAAATACTTGCAAATAAAGTATTCTGATTTATTTAGTGCTGTAGTTGCTCTACAGGCAGAGCCCCCATTGAACTGAAAATGAAGCTCTGATTGCAAATTTTGCTACAGCATAATGAATTCTTTGCTGGTGAATTCTTTACTAGTGTATGCCAGAGTTTGACTTGCTTTACACTGTGAAATACTTCTTCTTAGTGTTAATTTTTTTCCCAGAGCATTGTATTGCCTTTTAGAAAAGGCTTTTTTTAAGCTTGCATGATGCTATCCTGTAATATAAGTCAAGGTGTGTTTTACTTTTTGTTCTGTACATTACTTTGTATGGTTTTGATTATATAAGAGCTATTGTAAAAACTGGTTTTATTTCTTGTTTGCTGCATTACTAGAGGACAAAGTCTGGGTGTTGCAGATGTATATATATTTACAGAAACAACTTAATATGTGAGGAAATCCTGAAGCCATTTGAATGTAAGTTTTTCTCATGTAGCCAGTATTTCCCTTGAAAATATATAGATCAGTTTTCCATTGGGAAAAAAACAACAAAAAAAAAGTAGTTCAAATGAAAAAACAGTGCCAACAATCCTTTTTCAGTCTATGTGTTTTAAAATGTATGAGGCCTATGCATTCACCAGATAAAAGCTGACATTTTGGTAGTAAACTTTTGAAACTTTCAGCAGCATGAAAATAATATTTAACTGAATTGCTAAATCAGCACAATTTTCCAAAGTAGTAATAAGAAAACTTTAACTTCAAGAACTGTGAGTCTCGATCTTTCTATTTAGATTTCTGAGTCTCATAGTAGCTGCTAGAAGAGAACTTTTGTTTCATTTTATCTGTGTAACCGTCTCTTACATTTTGTCCAACTCTGATTTTGATTTTCTGGTTTCATACAGTCTCAAGAATCTTATGAGCTAAGAGCAGCCTGTGGAAAACATGAAGAGAGGCTGCAGATGTTACAGACCAACTACAGAGCAGTAAAAGAGCAATTAAAGCAGTGGGAAGAGGGCGATAGCAGGTAAGTTACATAGCTCATTAAAAACATTTTCCTTACACAAGAAATCTGAATAGAAGTATTACATAGGTATTCAAAAGAGAATGTGATTTGAAGGAAGAAGCTACCATGTGGTCAAGATTATCCTTTATTAAAGCAGAATACATGGCTTACCCCTATATGAGAAAAATTGCAGCTGGAACCAAGAGGAAATCTATTGACCTTGACTTATTTTATTTAGGCTCTCATTGAGAGCCTGACTACTGGACAAAGGTCAGCTAGGATTGCTTACTTATGTTTTTCTAATTCCTCACTCATTTTTTTGTTGTCTGTATGTTTTTAATTTTCTGTAACAAAACAGTTGCTCATTATGTTTCAAGTAGTTTTTAAAAATAGTTTTATTCATGAAAATATAGAAATAATACCTCCTCTAACATGTAGTGATTCATATATTAACGGAAACTAAAATTTCTTTCCTTATAGGGGAAAAAATAAAATAATATGCATGAAAGCAGGGTGTTTTCATCTGTTAAATTATTTAAAAACAAATTATTTCTGATAATTTCACCAAAAAATGCAGTAATATATCTTTATTAATGGAAAGAGAAAAGAATTTACCACATAAAATTTGCATAATGAACATTCTGTATATCATTCTCCCTTAGGCTCTATACAGAACAGTGAAAATTTTATGCAGAAATTCTTCCTTTTTTAAGTCTTTAGCAGACAGAATTTTTGGTAAACAGATGCAATTGGAGGTATGAAAACATTTCTTATCAGTTCAGTTATCAAGCACTGCTGTTTTTCAGGACCTATTTCAAGAAAATAATTTCCTTGTGGCTTTAGCAGGGCTAACACTTAATAGCTCAATAAACACTTGTGTGTTTTACTAAAAATAATTATTTTTGAAGTTAGAACAATACTGACTAATCTTGACACTAACTTTGTAACTCTCTCTGAAGAAAAAGAGTCACAGAAAATGCTGCAAAACTGGTGGCTGTTCAGAGTCTGGGGTGACATAAAGCATCCTACTGTGAATGATAAACTGTTCCTCATATATAAGTAATGCTATGGCCCATCTTAGTAGATTTGCATTGCTTTGAAATGCTAGCATTTACTTAGGAGTGGTTTGTCTTTAAAAAAGGAAAAAAAAGTGTGGATGAAAACAATGGTAAAGTACAAAATTGCTGCAGGCATTGGTGGTAGCACAGGAGCATTTTTTAAATACCCAAGCATAATGGCAAATATATTTGGTTAAATTATAATGAGAAAGTTTAGATATTTTTAGGAAAAGTATGAATTTCTTTTCTTCTAGCTCACTGTAATAAATTCAGTGCAATCTGCAAGTCACTTAAGGATGATAGTTACTGCATTCAATGAAATTATTTAATTCTATGTCTATACCTAGACAGGCTTTCATATCCACTGACAGGCCAAGGCGACCAAGATAAAAAAATTTTAACTAAATAAAGACATTAATATCTTGAACTTGATATACAGTGAAGCACGGGGTGTTCTGGTTCTGACAGTTAAAAAAATGCAAAACAAAAGGGAAAGAGAGGCAAAGGTGACTTCTGTTTCTGTTTAAAGTAAATGGCATGACCTTGTGTTATAATGAATGTGTTTGGGAAAAGTAAATATTGGGGAGAATATAATGCTCAGTCTTCACTTAGTCATCTAATTTTTTCATCTCTATTTAAGATGAGCTGAAAATAACAGGGTTTCAGTAATTTTTGTCATCAGATTAGATTTGTATGAAGCCACACTAAAGGAGGTTTGGTTTTTATTTTTAATATTCTTAAACAAAAAGAAGTGGACAAGACACAAAAAAAAGCAGTCTGTAACAATAAGACTGTTATTTTGGTACCTCAAAAAGCTGTATAGTGCTTCTGTAATGTAAATTGTGCATTAAGAACTCAGTATCAGATGCTTATGTGGCATTTCTGGTCTCTTGTAAATGATGGAGGACTCCATTCTCCATATTCTTCATAGCTCAGTATCCGTTACTGAGATGGCAGCTGATGGCACCTAATCCACCTGTCAGTGTACATACGACTTGCACTGATGTACGTGACTGCAAAGATGATGGGGGTCTTAGGAGGTTACCACATTTTCCAAGAGTTTATTTCTATGCCCATTAGGAATTTGGATTGCAGAGTTTTAAATTGATTTCGTAAAGGATTTTTAAATACAATTTTTATCTTTGACATTATTAAAATACCTAAAGGTATTTTAATGACAGAAAAACTGTTAAATATTTTAATTTTATTTTTCTGTGCTTCTAAATTATTCTAAAGTCAATGTTTATTCTTAATACATTATCTTGTCCACAGATAGTTAATTCCTTTATTAAACTGTAGAATAACAGTGAGGTTTAGAGTGGGCATTAGTTGCAACTTCCAGATTGGTTTGCTGGGGCATCAGGGGAGCTGATGATTTTCCCGTTGTTTTCAAGAGATTATATGATGATTTTAACTTCTTTCTCCTATCAGTATTCAAAGTAATGTTGTCATAATGTGGGTGACACTATTCTGCCACACATCACCTGGGAGGCATGGCGTCATAGTAGCACAATATCTGTCTGAAACTAAGTAATTGAACTTCTCTTTATTATCACAGAAAAGGTTTCATGTCTCAGAATGTACACTTCATACAAAATTCAGATTCACTGGATGCTGTACTTGAAAATTTGTATTTTCTGAAAGCAGGGGTGCTTTTATTCTAGTTCTCCTAGAACATTTAGATATTTGAAAGCAAATAGCCTTTTTTAACTCATAAACTTGCTTTAAAATGCTTGAAAATACTAATAGCAGATACCAGTGTACAGGCTTTTGTCAGCTTTGTCAAGAGGATCCTGATGTGATATAGAATGAGCTGTCTTTTTACAAAAGGAAGCACAAAAAGCTGTTGATTGAGAAGTGTTTGTTTCTTAAACGGTGTTAAAGAAACATACTTTTTTCTGAAGTGCTTAACAGGCCATACAAGAGGAATTCCTTGCAAAATTCCGTTATAAAACCATTCACCAAAAGCAGAAAAGGAAAACATCAGCTCTTTCTTTTTTTTCTTCTTTCTCTCTCCCCCTTAAATCAGTGACAAGTTACAAGTTTGCTAGCACTAACAGAAACTGTATTCCATGATCTAGGGATTGTGTTAATTAATGTGGCTCTCATCTGTTGGAGGTGTCGCTCTTCATTAGCCTGTATTTTACACACTGCCGTGCTTCATTTTTGGAATGAGGTGGTGAGGGGATAACCTAGCCAGCCATCCTTGTTTGATCTCTGTGATACATACGCAATGCAGAATGCCTCAGCTCTCTTGGTTCCCTGCCCTGTCCTGCTAATCCCAGCTGAGCTCATTATGGTGTAGCCTTGCTGCTACTCCTGGAGCCAGAGCTGTCCAAGCTAATTACTGGTAGCAGCAGAGCTGCCTGTTAAGGGTCTGGTGTGGATCTGCTAACATGGTCCTTGGTAGTGACCTGCAAAAAGCACGAGGGAGTTGCTCTCTTTCTTGCTGTGCACAGCCTGTCCTTTGGGTTTAGTGCTGATCCCTTCACACAGCTCTTTCAGCTGTAGTAAGTGTAAAACTTCGTGAAGGAAACTCTTACTTTAGAAAACATACAGTTTGCTGCTTTGATCTCATAATTCATAGGCTATTACACTCAGCCAGGCAAAGTAAAAAAATGTCCTTTTATACTAGACAAAAGGAAGTTAGTATGGTATAATTAGCCCTTTGCTGTGATTTAACACTTTCTTTAAGTGTCTATGATTTTTTGTTTTAATTTACGAATCAAGACATCATAGAAAGTTTTATTCGGAGTTTGGTTTTGTCAGCATTAAAGAAAATGTGTTTTCCCGATGGATCACAATGTAAACCCGTTTTGTGGCAATACCATGAAGGCTGCTATCACAGAATTTCAACAGCAGCAAATTGTTTTCTTCTATGTAAGTCCTTGTGTTGACCATAATCTCCCTTGGTGTATTATAGGCAACGTTGCCAGTAGCTGTGTTACATGGGGTATTCTTATATGTGAAGGTTAAAACTGTGCACCTGTTCTTGTCACTTTGTTGTCATATCTTTTTTTGCAGTTTTGAAACTATAACGACAAATTATCACATGCAATCATTTTGTGGGTTTTCATTTTCCATTTTTATGTAGGAAAGAACACTTTCTTGCCATGTATGTAATTTCTTACATGTAATTCCCCTTCCATACTAATGAACACATTGACCACAGGCAATAGTAACTCAAGAGTAATTACATAAGCCTCTTTTTTCACACAAAGCCGTGCAAGAGAGATTGCTTATATATTGTGCACACCCTGAAGGTTGGTACAGTTAGACTGCTTTTCTGGAGTTCCTGTGCAGTCACATTTATAGGAACACCCTTATTTCTGGTATGTTGCAGATCATTGACCTTGACTAGACTGTGGTGAGGTGGCACAAGCAAACTGTTGAGCTCTTTGAAATACAGAATTTATAAGACAGAATGGCTTCATAAAAGTCCGCATAGTAAAGACTTAGTAAGAAGCCAGTGCAGCATGGTGTTCATTAAGGTGACCTCCTCGTGTGGATTTAGGTGCTGTTTGCTCCTTATGGGCAATGTCACTGTTAGTTGAAGTAAGGAGGAAATGAATGTGTAACTGCGGGGTTTAGATGTCTTTCTCTAATAATGATAGTCTTTAATCTGTTAAAGGATTTCAGCTCATTTTCTTAAGAAAGTCAATACTAAATTTATTGTACTTTTTGGATATGTGGATAGAGCTCCTTTATATTGCATCCATTGTTTTTTAAATTCTGTGGATAAAGGACCTGCGGATCTGCGGAGTTGGACCAGTTACTTCTAAGTGTAATGTTAGAAGTAGTATAAGTAAACCAGGTTAGCCCATAGCTTTTGTAAATGCACTTAATTTGATAGAGCCTACTGATTGTTATCTTAAGTTGATGTAGAACATACATAAACCAAAACCAGTGCATCATTGCTTAAAGAAGTGTCTGCGTAGGGATTTTATTTCAGTTTAAGTAGTTTTAGCTTTAAATATGTATAATTTCTCTCTCAGACTAAACCAAAGAGTGAGTGTTCAGAAAATAGGATTATTTGTTGTTGCTTGTTTATATATTTAATCTGTAAGAAAGATTTTCTCTGCCATCTTCTGAGAGATAGAGCAATGATGTAAAATGTCTCTAATATGCACATACATAAATCATGTTTTTAGCCCTCCACTGGACCTGCTCTAGGGGCTCCATGACTCCTTCTAGTGGGGAGCCCAGATATGGACAGAGTAGTCCAGATGTAGCCTCACCAAGGCTGAGCAGAGAGGCAGAATCACCTTCCTCAACCTGCTGGCAGTGCTCTTCCTAATGTGCCACCAGGGCACACTGCTAGCTCTTGGACAGCTTGTTGACCTGAAGGACTCACAGGTCCCACTCCATACAACTGCTTCACTGCACATCCAATTGCCCTGCTACCCAATTGCAAGATGGCTAATTTAAACTATTTCCACATCTCCACTGTTAGTTGGAGCGTAGGGATACCCTGTCCCTTTGGCCTTTATGTACAGACTTTGTAAACGTATAGATGCCTGGATATAAACTATTCTGTAATTTTTACAATTTTGCATCTTTCATTTTGTATTATTTGTAGGAAACCTAGTAATAGATGTGAGCAACACTCAGTTATTTGACAAAGAACATTCTTCAACATTAAACATGATGATGTAAATCATAATTTTCACAGTTAGCTGGAAATTTGTTGTCTGTTTGAGTGCTTAGTTGTGCATGTCATCCATTATAGGAGGTATGCTCTGGGTCTTTAAAGCATATGGAATCACTGCAACCTCAGTTGTATCCTTTCTCTGCTGTAGCAGCTATTTAATAAATGTTTCTGATAAGCTTTTCTTTTTTAGGAAAGCAAGACCTCTTGGTTTCTGCTTTCCTTATTCCTGTGAAGTGAAAGCAGCTGTCCTGGTGTAGTGGTATGTGACCAACTAGTTCACAGGAGCCTATCTTAATACCAGCAACGTCATGTGATGCCTCTTGTCTTTTCTAGCTATTAGAATGGGTATGGTGGAGAAAAGGTGAATTAAGTGTGCTGGAATGCTAGCAGTAAGAAATACAAACATAGGCTCTATTAATTCCTCTGCTTCTTGAATGTGTGTTCCCTCCCTCCTTTAACTGAATATTGCTCAGTGAAAATGACAGGCTCGAGTGTGAGAGTGGGAAATACTGCACTACAAATAAATTAAAATGTAAGAAAGCAGCATTTGGTGTAATGCAGAGTATCGTTTCTAAAAGATGTTTTTAAAGGACCAAAGTCAGAACTGTAAAATGCCACATGAACTCATGCAGGGGCTTTTACAAATTAACAAAATGGCCCTTTTTGTGAAGAGAATTAGTTGTTTTTTTTCTAGCAAGCTTCCAGATACATTTTCACCAAGCGCTGTGTCAACTGTTTTCCCGTGAGAGGGTTCTGTCAAGGATGATGAGACTAATGCTTTTTAATTGTTTAGCTTGTCTCTAGAACATTTCTTACCTGTATCCACCATATCTTGTAATTTCCTGCATCATAGCTAGCAGACAAACTTGAAGATTTAGTGTGGCTTTTTTATATCAAATGTGTTTCTGTTTTTCCTGTGTTCTTCCATATGCAATCAGACTTGCCTCGTCTTGTACTTCAGTGACTTCTCATATATGATGGAATTGTGTCATACTGAAAACGTGAGTAATGCTGCTAAACATTTTTTATAGATAATATAGAAGCAGGTAAATACAATTAAAGTTGCATTAATGATAAAAGAAGGGCATTGTCAGGGTCAAAAAAGCAGAGAGATGGTGAAGAAAGTTAAGGACTCTATGTTACCTTCCCCATGTATTGCTTGCATAGAGCTATTGCTTGCCTTGCTGCTGGATCAAAGTGGTTTCTGTAGATTATTTGGTTTAGAAATGAATTGTTGTAGTAAGCACGCTACGTGCAAAAGAACTGCCTTTTTCTTATCCCTCTGTCTGGCCTAGAGAAACGTCTTCAGCATTTAAATGGAGATGTCTGATTAGTCTACAGATATATGCATGTGTAAAAACAAAGAAGTCCTAAGTGTCTTATATTAAACTGTACCAAATGTTCATAGAAGAAGCCTATGAACATACAGTCTGTAACACCAAAGCACACTGATTGCTGCTAACATGTCAGACTGCTACTTTAAGAGAATAAGGAGTGAGTAAGGAAAATAAATTTCTCTACAGTACTTCCTGTAAAGTTCTGGGATTTCAGGTAAAGGTAGCCGTGCTTGGTACATTCTGGCAAGATGAATTTANTGCTAATTTTCCACTTGACTTTACAAAGTACTGATTTTGGAGAGGAAATTGTAAATTTTCATGATTCCATGTATCTCAGCTTTGATAATACCATATGGAACTTCAATAACTGAATTTTGAAAAAATGTAGAAACATTTATTTCAGAGAGTGAAAATAATACTTTACAGGAAAACTTACTAAACATTGTTTACGTATTCTTGCTTTATCTCTTGAACTCTTCCCTAAAGTGTACTGTTTCGTAATTTTAGAAAGTCAAATGTGGTGCTTAGTGGACCTTTATTGTGACCCAGCATGATCTTTGTGATAAACTACTTAGCTCTCTTTTGTTTTATGAGGTAGATTATGCATATACATGCAGAAGTTTAGCCTATCTTAATGCTTTTGGATATTTTTCCAATTTCTAAGGAATTCAGAATGCATTTTCTAAGAATTATTATAGTACTTGCTTTTTTGAAACACAATCACATGAGTATAAACTTCATATCATCAAAATTTTCCTTAAGCTCAAATACTTTAGTGGAAGAAATAGATTAAGAAATTTATTTTTATCCTTACTTTGCATTATTGGAAACCAACTCCATACCAACAGCAGGCTGTAGGCAAGAGACTTTAGTGTGCTGTCATATGA